GGTGTGTCTTGGTGTATTAGTTTGTTATGCAGTTTTGAGTTTCTTTCTAGGTCATACCGTAATCTCCCTGTAGTTTTATTTTTATTATTGTTTTGGACTATGCTTAGTACATTTGGGCACAACACTTTAACATATCGGAGTTGAAAGAACCACTGTCTCTGCAGGTCATGCAGGAGTGAAAACGCTAGCATTTAGACAGGTGTGGTGTAGATAGCAGAGTATGTGAGGTGCACCCTGTATAATTTCTTCAGTGGGAGTAGTAACCTCTTTCAGATGATAGGGATTTCCTCAGGCACCTCTGAAGTTGTTTCTGCTACTCAGAAGGGTGTCTGGTATTGGCTGCTCCAGTAGAAATGAGGGACATTGAGCATTTGTCCTCTGATCAGGCCCTGGTGCAGCTCCAGGTGCTTTACATAGAGAGGTGGGGACAAGAATTATAGCACCCACCACCAGAGGCACTACTCAGTCTTGTTAGCGGTTCATGAGTAGACAAAGTGTGGGGGTGACCAGTGCAGGGAATCTGCACAGGGCAGATGCAGAAAGAAAACTTGGATTAGTCCTCTCTGCTACTACTCCAGGAACTGGACCTCAGAGACTCCCTGTAGGGAAGTTTTAAATTGTTTCTTTTTCCTCTGAAGTTTTGATAATTTCAGTTTCTGAAATAAACAATAATAAATTAACAGGAGAAAAAGCAAACACATTTACTGTTATGTAGAAGTTTAGAAACATACATAAAATATGACCAGGTGATTGAAGCTTAAATCTTGCATTACACAAAGGATTAGGGATTTAGGGTTCCCAGAACAGGTTCGATGGCAATACAACCCATAAGAGGTTCAGGAGAAGAACTGCATGGCCATCAAAAACTGTCTTATGATATAGACAAAGTTTCCTAGGAATAGCCCTCAAAAACTGCCTGTGGCCACATGTCAGACCCCCCCAGTCTCCTTTCTATGAAAAGATCTTTTCTAAGCAGATGTGGATATCTTAGAGAAAGCCTCTATTTGCATCTGTGGCTTATTTCACTAATATAAATAGATACAAATTTATTTTATCATAGGCAGATTTTCTTTTTCTTTTTTTTTTTTTTAAGAGAGAGAGAGAGAATTTTGATATTTATTTTTTAGTTTTTCCGTGGACACAACATCTTTGTTTGTATGTGGTGCTGAAGATCGAACCCGGGCCACAGGCATGCCAGGCGAGTGCGCTACCGCTTGAGCCACATCCCCAGCCCCATAGGACAGATTTTCAGAACTATTTCTGCCTGCAGTTCTGTGAATAACACAAAAGAAGTATATTTGGGGTGAGATATTTTACTCTCCCATGAAGCTTGTTACATGGATGAGAGAGGTAGCCGAGGAATTTAAGTGTGGGACAGCCACTGAAGAGAACCATAGATCTGTGCATAGGGCTGCTACATGTGCTACAGAAATAAGGTAGATGCCATTCCTCCAAGTATGGACAGCCTATTTTCTGTCTCTAATGGTTGTTTTCCATTGTCAGTTAGTTATATATGGATATATTTATTCAAATCTGCCCTAAATACTGTTAATTGCTTTGAATTATGATATAACCTACTTATTAACCTGAATTATTTGCAGTAATCATTAAAATAGAAAAAAGAGGATAATAATTAGCAATCAAATCTCTTACAGTGACTTCTATAAGGCATTTAAAAAAAATTTTTTTTTAGTTATACATGGATGCAGTGTCTTTATTTTGCTTATTTACTTTTATGTGGTGCTGAGGATCGAATCCAGTGCCTTACAAGTAGGAGGCAAGTGCTCTACCCCAGCCGCCAACCCATAAGGCTTTTTTTTGGGGGGGGTACTGGGAATTAAACTTAGGGACACGCAACCGCTAAGCCACATCCCTAGCCCTATTTTGCATTTTATTTAGAGATAGGGTCTCACTGAGTTGTTTAGCACCTCACTTTTTTTTTTTTAAGAGAGAATTTTAATATTTATTTTTTTGTTTTCGGCGGACACAACATCTTTGTATGTGGTGCTGAGGATCGAACCCAGGCCACACGCATGCCAGGCGAGCGCACTACCACTTGAGCCACATCCCCAGCCCCTATCACCTCACTTTTGCTGAGGCTGGCTTTGAACTAGAGATCCTCCTGCCTCAGCCTCCCAAGCTGCTGGGAATATAGGCATGCGCTACCTTGCCCTGCTGCCCATAAGGCATTTAAAAAATATTTTTATTTGTTCCATAAGGCATTTTCCTTGTAATAAATTGACTAAAATCATATTCCCAGAAATAGGGTGTTCATTTTTTAAATTTAGGATCTTCAATGCAAATTTCTAGTCAGAGTATCCTGTTCATTTTGCTCCGATGTGTTTTAGTTTCTACATTTTGGAAAGAATATATGAAACATTTAAGCTGGAAAATGATGAGGAGACTGGAGTAATTGGTAATTGCCTTCTTTTTACTGACATCACTTGTTCTCTGTCTTTGGTTGAGACATTTTCCCAGAGGTCTCCCCCTCCCCTCCTCTCTCCCCCATCCCACCTTCCTTACCTCCTTGTGTGTGTGGGGTGGGGGTGTGGTATTGAATTAAAACCAGGATTGTTCTACCACTGAACCTCATTCCCATCCCCCCCTTTTTTTCTTTCTAAATTTTTTTTTAAATTATGGGAACAATAACAACAGAAACATCTAAAACCGAAGCTTCTAGAAGAACCATTTGTTCTTGCTGTCTTAAACAACTCTTCAAACTTAACCTTGGCCTTCTGATGGGCCTTACATTTAAGAGCAGGATCTCTGAAGACATCCTAGTCAACAACAGTTGTGTCCAAGGGGATATCCACAGAGAGAGTACTTTGTGGGCATGATATGATTGTAATTATAAACTTTCACAAAAGACTTGATCTTTGACCTTTGGAAGTTTTCTTTTTGCCCATGGCAGGTATCACTTTGTGAGGATAGCGATTAATTCTAGCTACCAAAGCATGGCTCTAGAGACACTCTGGTGTGCCATCATCAATGACGACAGCTTTGTGTTTGGAGTAGCGTCTAGCCAGGGCCAACACCATCTTCCCAGGTTTCATGAACTCGTCCATTTCAACAGCAAGCACCAGGCCTACAGCAGAAAGGAAGAAAGAGCATTCTATTCTCCCTTTTTATTCTTTAAGACAGGGTCTCTCTAAGTTGCTGAGGCTGGTGTCAAACTTGTGATTCTTCTGCCTCAGCCTCTCAAATTGCAGTGATTACAGTCATATATCATTGTACCTGGAAATCTCTTCTCTCCTTTTATGAGGTTTTTACCTTGTCAAAAGTAACATCTCTATTCATCAGAGGTCATAGAAGAACCAAATTATGTATATTTGTTGAGAATCTTGCTCTTTTCCAGTAATAAATTTCTCTCTTTTCTCTCAACTGAGGCAGAAAGGAAAAGTGTAAAACAGCAGGTGAACTTTCTAATGAGATTATGACATCTAATGAAATTGTTTTGTTTTGGTTTTTTTGGTCATTACCCATATTAGAATCTATCACTCAAGGTAAATTGCTTTTTAAAGTTTAGGTGTGGGAGTTGGAGTTGGTTTTGGCTGCTGACAACAGGAAATTCAAAATGACTATGATGTAGTAAGCACACATGATATATTATCTCTCAGAATTCTGAAAGTAGGTACTCCAAGCCTGGAATAATAACTTTATAGAGTCATCCAAAATTTATGATTCTTCTATCTTTTTGCTTAACCGTTGTAACCCTTGGCTTACATTTTCAAACCTACTTTGTAGTCCAGATGGCTGCTAGATCTTCAAGTAGGCTAGAAGGAAAGGTGAAATGGTAGAAAAGATTCTCTGAGCTCTCATCTCTTTCCTTTATAAATACCTCTCCCAGCAATCTTTTACACTTTATCTGTTTCTTATTGTATAGAACTTACATGTCTAATACCTATCTTCAAGGAAGACTGGGAAATAAATTGTTCTGGAACTTCGTGGCCACATCAATATATTTGAGTTTCTGTTGCTGGTGAAGAAGGGGGGAATGGATATTGAATGGTAGCCCTTGATCTCTGCTGTAGACTATTTCTTTCTTTCTTTTTTTTTTTTTTTTTTTTCATGGTAGGGGGCGGTGGGGATTGAACACAAGGTACCTCACATGCTAGCCATTTGCCGTACCACTGAGCTACATGCCCAGCCCTGTAACCTAATTCTTTTTTTTTTTTTTAAGATATATTTTTTAGTTGTAGGTGGACACAATACCTTTACTTTGTTTATTTTTATGTGGTGCTGGGGAGTGAACCTTTGTGAGGCATGCGCTCTACTGCTGAGCCACAACTCCAGACCTGTAACCTACTTCTTAAAGCAAGAATAACCAAACAAATACTATTGTGATATCGTATTAAAAGTTTTAAGGTTGAGCTTGGTGCAACATGGTGGCTCTCTCCTGTAATTCTACCTACTTGAGAGGCTGAAGCAAGAGGATTGCAAGTTTAAGGTCACCTTTAGCCACTTAGCAAGACCCTGTCTCAAAATAAAAGGCTGGAGATATAGTTTAGGGATAGAATAATCCTGGTTTTAATCTCCTATATTACCAAAAACCTAAAAATAAAAATAAAAGGGAGGGCTCTGGGAGGAATACAAGCCAGTGTGGTAACACATGGCTGTAATTCCAGCTATTCAGGAAACTGAGGCTGAAATATGAGCCCATCCTGAGCAATATACCAATACCCCCATCTCAAAATGAATAAAGAAAAAAACCTTGGAGATGTTTTTGTGTTATAGCGACCTTTTCTTTGTAGAGGAAGTACTGTAAAGGAGTTTGAATTACAATGATTTCACTTAATTACCAAAATTTTTCTATATACAGTCAAGCTTTGACCAACCATTCTTGAGGTCTACCGGGAATTAATTAGACTGGGGCCCTGTTGATTTTGCTTAGTTCTTCTTATTTCAGAGTTATTCCTCATTTGAATTTCAGTGAGAATGGATGTTGGGAAGCTCTTCCCTTCTTAAGCATTTGAAGCACTAATTCATAGTTTTCATTATAGATATATGGCAGTGTATGGGAAAAATTACACCGGGCTTTTGCCATTTGGAGTGGATTTGGTATGACCCTGACTGGCGTTCACACTTGTGGCGATTACATGTTCAGTGGCCACACAGTCGTCTTAACTATGCTGAATTTCTTTGTCACTGAATGTAAGTATTTGTTTAGTGCTTCTGTGCATGTTAGATAACTAGCTACACAAGGGGCTGTAGAAAGTGTGTAAAGTCCTTTTAAGAAGGAGCAAAACAGCCTCACCTAAGAAATGTGTGACTATAAGCACTGGAGGGAATGCTTTTTAAAATGATCTTTGTGTCCTTTTCCTAGATACACCAAGAAGCTGGAATTTCTTGCACACTTTATCCTGGGTTCTCAACCTCTTTGGAATCTTCTTCATCTTGGCTGCCCATGAACATTATTCCATTGATGTGTTTATTGCCTTTTATATCACAACAAGACTCTTTTTGTACTATCATACTCTGGCCAATACCAGAGCATATCAGCAGAGTAGGAGAGCAAGAATTTGGTTTCCCATGTTTTCTTTTTTTGAATGCAACGTTAATGGCACAGTACCTAATGAATATTGTTGGCCATTTTCAAAACCAGCAATAATGAAAAGACTAATTGGATGAAGACTGTATCTTTGTAATGAGTTTGTGATTAAATATACAGTAGTTGTTGTAAATGAATAACTTTGCTTTCTTCCTCTAGGTTGTTCCTGGATGTGTTGCATTTTGGCTTATATGTTGGTAGAGTTTCCTGTTCTGAGCAAGGCTATGATTATAAATAACAAGAAAAAAAATCAAGAGTTCTTACTTACCTGTTTGAACAGAAAGATTAAATAGAATTTTCTGCCCCTTCACTTCAGGGGGAGACCCACTGTTTGACTGGAGTCAGGCTGTTACCCTTACCTGTTGAGTATTTGCCTTATTGAACATAAGCAAATCAACTTAGGTAGTCACCTGGTTGAAAGATTTTTATTGATTTTCAGTAGGACTCTAGTGGAGAAATAATAGTTTTAAGCTGCTTATTACCTTCTAAAGAAAAACACTACCAAGTAAGCAATATTTGTTCTTTGAACTAATTCCTTTGTTAGTCTGGAAAGTGATTTGTTTTACTGATAAATCATTTTCTGCCTTCTGAACTATAATTAAGAAAAGTACACTGAGTTATACCAGCATGCCTGAAATGAGGAGAATGAAAGGGGCCATATAAGAGGTGACAGAGAACTGATGTGGATGTCATTGGCCTTCTTATTAATGCAGAAATAGGGCTCTATTTTTCACCAAAGATTAAACAAAAGATGCAGTTCCTATTTTGTTCTGAGGGTTTAATATGAACATCAGTGAGTATTCATGAGGAGAAAATGGCTGCATTTATAAATGTAAATGTGGCATAATTTTAATGATATGGGTATCTGGAATAACTTTGTGCTGTAAGTGTTAGATGACAGCCCAATTTAATGCTTTTTAAATGATATATTTAATAAGCGAAATAGGAGTGTTTTATCAGATGTTAAAGTTCTTACGTCAGTAAATAGGGAAATATGCATGCAAAGTTTTTTTTTTTCTTTGAAAAGAAATTTATATAACAGATTGTAGATATAGTGTTAACCTTAATTTCTCATTCTTGGCCATCAAAAAGTAAATAGTCTGAGACATATTTGCATACAAAAAAACTTTGTTGGTTTTTATTTTTTAAAATAATTGTGTATATACATTCTTTCTATATAGTCTTAATTTGGCAGTGAGGAAATTATATACTTAGCTGCTGTTTACAACACTGAAAATTTAGTACTTAAGTAATTTCACCTCTGTGATAACATTTGTCACTTTATTTTTAATGATTTTATATAGTAGTTATGACAGTAGCATGGTGTAGAAGTGGAAATTGACCCCTAACTGATTAACTTAGTTACTTAGAATATTAATTGTATAGTTTTTACATTCCATTAAAAAAAAAAAAAAGGAGTTAGAAAAGGTGCTAACATACTAAAGTCTAAAATTAGGCCATAGCAAAAGCCTGCCACTTCCTTATCTAAGTGAAATATTTTATTTTTGCACTTTGAGTCATAGTCCCATCCCTGTATAAGCTACAGAAGAGTCTGGATGAATTGTATAGGGAAAAACTACATGAATAAGTTTCAGTCAGTGCTGAATAACCCCAATTTGAGTCTTTTGTACATTGTTTATTTCTCATTTGAGAAATGACATGTCAACTCATTTTCTTATGCTTTTAAATCTTATACTTCAGAATCTTATAATATCTTCAATTGTTGATTATGTTACATGCTAGGAACAAAAATGCCAAGGTAGTAGAGCACTTGCCTAGCATGTATGGGGGGCCCTGAGTTTGATCCCCAGTACAGGTGTGGGGGAAATGTCTTACCTAAAGAATTATTGTATAAGCTAATGAAGGAAAGATACTTATTGAAACTCTTTGACCTTTGACATCAAAAAATATTTAACTGCCATTTTTTTCTAAATGACAGAACAGGACTAAATTTAACAAGGAAGGAACTTATGTTGACTTTGGGAAAGTATTTTTTTTTTAATGTGGCACACCTAATTTTAAAATGTTAAATAGCTTATTAATGACAAATGCCCTAACATCAATCTTCTTTCCTTCATATGGATTTTATTGTAGAACAAAGTAGAAATATAGCTGCCACTAACTTTGCAGAGCTATTGACCTTAAGAGTACCTAACAACAGGCTGCCATGAGGATTGTAAAATAACATTTCAGCCTTGTGATTCTCCTATCTGTTTTGAGAAGAAGGTAAGCTAGATTTATAATTTATTGTTTTAACTGTTACAAGGCAGTGTTTACATAAATTAATCACTTCCAAGTCTCTGTTTAGAAAACTTTGAGACAAAATTATTTTTAGTTTTTCTGAAACACAAAACTACATATTTTAGTTGTTTTTTGTTTTGTCCAGAAATTTCCAGGTTTTTGTCTTTATACTTTTTTTTCTTGTTAAAATCTTAACTAGTGAAGATGGAATTTATGTTTACAATTTGGGTATGTATATGGCTGGATGGAGAAGCCACATGCCTTAGGTTTACCTTTTATTTTGACTTTGTACTTGGTTCCACAGTTGCAGACTTGTGAAAAGCTTGCATCCTTGAGAGCATAGTAGAGAAGGAACCAAAAAGGTTTTGGCTTTGGGGGATGCAAATGGAGGTTATGTTGAAAGTCCTTGATGCATTTTCTACATTCTTGGGTACAATGTTGCCCTTTTCTCTTTTTCCGCTTCCCTTCCCTACCCTTACTTTCCTTTCTCTCCATTATTTCCTTTCTTTTTTTAAAGACCACAGTAGGGTAGTGTACTGAAAGATAACTGAATAGGGAGTCAGAGGTTTTGAAAGAAGGCAAGTTTATGGTTAATCAGGTAATTTCGGGGGAAGCCTTTTTGGGCTGTGCTTCAGGATTCTCAACATGACTGTCCTTCCATAGTTCTCTCAGACCAGAATTGCCAGGGCAAAAATTCAACTTCTACATGCTGGCTTGTTTATTGCTGTCCTTCTAAATCTGAAAGCAGTAAGCTAAGCCTTAGAACCAGTAAGTTAAATAAATGTGGGCTGTTCCCCACAAAAGAAAACCCCATGGCCCAGAGAGCTACTGGATAGCATTACCCTTGACTCTGTGAGTGGTAATCTGCCCTACTGTATACCTATCTGAGTATTAGGACTAAGAATTTCAAAAATCCTATAATTTGTACAGAGGGAACAGAGGAGCCAAATCCTATTATAGCTAATAAGAGACAATCTATGCTGGGAATGTCTGTTTAGAAAGTGTTATTCATACTTCATCAACTCATACAACACTACCCTGCTTTGACTGTGTTCAGCAGAAGGCAGTTTTTTCATTAATTTTAAGGATCCTAGATCCAGAATGCTTATGAATGTTAACCATATTTTTTTAAGTTCTCTGATTTAGTAAGTTTATTTTTTGAGTCTTTTTGTAGATTGACATCATCCCATACTGTAAGTAATTTAAACTGTAGTCATTTCTCAGTTAAGGTATTCAGGCATTTGAGACAAAGAAAACTCTATTTTAGAACAGTCCATGCTTTCTAAGCAATATTGGTTGTTTTAAACAGTTTCAAAGCCAACAAAGCAAGATAGTTTTAATGCAGCTTTACTTGGCAGTTTAAAGAGTTCATATTTATAAAAAGTTTACCATACCTCCGTAGCTGTAAAATAACATCAATGGTCAGAATGCTTCAGGGGACCAGTGAAAATGGAAAGTGGTAGAGGTGGTTTGTTGTTTGTTCCCTCTCTGTCTTTGAGTGGCTTTGAATGACTAAAATTAGTGTGGAAGTAGGTTTTGGTCCCCATCTCACCTTAACCTGACAAATGCCTCTAATTTCAAATAACTAATATATGATATTACTTTGTCAAGTTCAATGCAAATATCTGTGAAATCTATAAGCCATTATTTCAGTTACCAATAAGTTAGTTTTTAGAATACATTCTACTCTGAATTAACCAAAGGACTTTTTATTCACTGTACTTCATGTCTCAAAGTAAGGAAGTTTTTGCTTGATAAAAGAGTAGAAAGAACACTGTCAGTTTCATTGTTATTTCAAGTCTGTTTCAGTCTGAACTACTGGGTTGTGGCAAGAACTGAACATAGCCAAGTGATAGTATCAGGTAGTAATGCCATTTTAAAATGACTAATTTTGATAATTTTTCATTCAGAGAATCTGAATTATTAGGACAATGAAGTATTTCTGATATGGATCAAAAGAAGTGAACTCAGTGAGTGAAGCAATGTTAGCCTGGACTAAAGTGGGTATGTTTAGTTTTGAGAATTCTCAAAGTCTCCCTGTCCACAGAGAAACTAGTATTACTTGAAAAGATGTGAAAGTTCCTGTGGTAGCCATACCTTGAAGCACAGTATTGTATATAAGTAAATATCTTGATTCTAAATTAAATCCAGATTTAACTAATATATATTATTTTATATCTTTGTTGTATTAAAATGTTTGAAAATACTAAAAATAAAACATTTGAAAGTTGAATTGCAGTTTCTTATTTAAAGGTCTTTGCATTATTAATGCAACATGTCTTATTTATATGGTGAATTTTAAGTTTCACAATAATTGAGCTCTAAAATCTGTAGTATCTAATCCTTGGCATTTGCTTTTTCTTGGTTGTCCATTAGATAAGTAATTTTTCCTTTTCTTTTCTGTAAACTGGTAAAGAAAAGTGATCTTTCTACAAGTATTAGAATAAGTTATAGATTAAGAAATTGAAGGCTAGGGATATAGCTTAGTGGTAGAATATTTTCCAAACATTTGCCTAGCATTTGTGAGGGCCTCCCAGCACCACAAAAGGAGGGGTGGTGGGCTTGGGATGTGGTTCAAGTGGTAGCGCGCTTGCCTGGCATGCATGAGGCACTGGGTTCAATCCTCAGCATCACATAAATGCCGGGTTTCTGTTCTCGCGACTAAAAGGCTCAGGGGTCACTCTAGTTAAACTGGGCTAACTGGGCTGCACGAAATAACCACACAAGAGACACAAATACCTTTTTCTTTGGGGTTGCTGTGACAGCTCCTCTGACCTTAAGGGTCCGCAGAAAGAGAGAGAGAGCACGCCCTGACCCCTTTTATTGAGGAGAAGCTATTCAAATGAGGCACGGGGTCAGGTTTCAGGGGGCTGAGTCTATCTTCATGATGTCCACTGTCAGCAGGTTGACTGACACCTGGGTAGGTCACACCCAAGGGCACAGTAAGAGGAGGGGACACACACAAGGCACTTCCATGGAAGATTCTATCCTAAACAGGGCAAGGAGTTATACACAAAGGAACAGGTGAGCACAGCTGTAGCAAGACACACCCATTTCTGTGACTGAGCGCTTCAGCACTCAGCTGGGGAGTGTAACTCAGTCACCTGTAAGGTTGGCCTGCCACACATAAAAATAAAATAAAGATATTGTGTCCACCTAAAACTAAAAAGTAAACATTTTTTTTTTTAAAGAGAGAGTGAGAGAGAGAGAAAGAATTTTTTTTTTAATATTTACTTTTTAGTTCTCTGCGGACACAACATCTTTGTTGGTATGTGGTGCTGAGGATCGAACCCGGGCCGCATGCATTCCAGCGCGCTACTGCTTGAGCCACATCCCCAGCCCAAAAAAAGTAAACATTTAAAAAAAAAACAAAGGAGGGGTGGTGGCAAACACATTTAAGTTGTTTTTATTCCCAAATACATTTAAGTTATTTTTTTTGTTTTTGCAAACAAACAAAACAAACTGGTTTTGTAGTGCTGAGAGTAGATCCCAGGGCCTTGTACATTCTAAGCAAGTGCTTTACCACTGAGATTCATTTCCAGCCCCCAGAGTTGTTTGTTTAGATTTTTTTTTTAATGTATATATGTTTTAGTTGTAGTTGGACACAATACCTTTATTTTATGTATTTATTTTTATGCAGTGCTGAGGATGGAACCCAGGGCCTTGCACATACTAGGCAGGCGTTCTACCTCTGAGCCACAACCCCAGCCCTGAACCTGTCTTCTTGATTACCTCAGTAGCACTAGCCCCAGCTGGTCTTTCTTGGGAATTCAGGAAAGAATAGTCCAGAACAGATGGAGAGTCACCTTGGTAGAATGGAAAGTGCACTGTCTTTAGATTCTGAGGACCTGGGTACGAGTTATACTCTGCTGCTAATTAAGTCAGGTTTTTCCAGTTCTTAACTGCTTGTGTTAAGCAGAGAATAGGGAAGCCTAACTAAAAGGTTATATTAAGGGCAAGATTGTTAAGGTACTGTAGTTTTGCTAGCCCAGTACATAATACATAACTATTGAAATATTATTTGAATTTAGGTCAATAAAATGAGGCCATGCCCCAGAGAGTTAGTAAACTAGCTGGAAAATGTCATAAAAAGGTAAAGAATAATATTCTTTAGTGGAACAGATCAGTAGTTTTATGGGTTTTTAAATATTTTTGTTTTTAAAAAAGATTTAAATTTTTTGTTTTTCTTATTTTTTATTTATTTATTTATTAGATCAGTAGCTTTAAGACTCTGTGACAGAACATCTTTAGGGGTAGGGGAAGTGAGGTGGAGCTTTTGATCCACTTGTACTATTTTCATCCATAGATGGTGATTTACATAATTTAGCTTTCCTAGACCTTCTTCTCTTTGAAAAAAGATTGATATAGGAGAAGGAAATGTTTGAAACCACTGAGGCAGTAGGTACATTTACTGTCTTCTCCTGGCAGCTTGGGGGAGGGAGTAAGGACTCCTTGAAAACTGGGGCAAGGGGAAGGGTGTCCAAGAAAAATCCACTAAGGATGTGAAACTTTAATTGAACCTTCCTTAAAGAATAAGTCAATAATGGAATCAAAGGCTTAGAGGGCTCTGATTGCAATGAAAAAAAAAAAGTGTATATTATAGAGTATTGATAGGGTTTGTGTGTTTTGAGTCACTGGGTTTACTAAGCATGTACCACCACGCCTGATCCTGCATTAGTATTTTAAAAATAGTTAGTAATATAATAAGCAAATGATAGAATGGAGACAATGTTATTGATATGCAAATCTTTCTGGAGGACTATCTAAACTGCAGACTATCATTTATTTTCTTAAAAAGCCCTGTAGGGGCTTTTTAAAGCTCTTCTAATCATTGTATACTTCCTGTAGGGAAATTTTTTGTTTGTTCTGATTCTGGGGATAGAATCCAGGGGCACTATTGATTACTACTATGCTACATTCTCCTTTTTTTATATTTTTAATTTTGAGATAAGATCTTGCTAAGTTGTTTTTGTTTAGGGTCAAAGTTGTTGAGTCTGCCCTCAAACTTGCAATCCTCTGTCTCAGCCTTCTAACTCACTGAGATTCAAGAGGCTATACCTCCCAATTGTGGGGAAATTTTAAACTTATACTATTTTCTATATTTAGTCTATGAAATAAACGGACAATATACAGATTAACAGAGAAGTAGCATGCAAATTTATTAATGTGCATAAGCATCGAAGCCATAAACACAGCATGAGACTCAAAGAAGAGAAAGGTCCTGAAGTAAACAAAGGGATGAAGGCTTGGGCTTCTTGGAGGAAGAGAGGTAGTTGGGCAGTGGAAGCTTGTGCGAGGAGAAGAAGGTACACAGCAAGCAAGGGTTATCTTGTTAGGCATTTCTTAGGAGATTTCTTAGGTTAACTACTACCTGTGGTAAACTGTCTTTTTCCTGAGAAGAACCTGTCCTAGGCTCCTGCCTTAGGCTGGGAGGAAATCCACTGCGCCATTGGCTGTTACTGATGTTAAATACATGTTTCTTTTTATGGAAGTGATAGGGGACAGACAGGGAACGTTGAGGTGAAAGGGATAGTTCTATAAACTTGGCCCACTGTGCTGACCCCCACATGCTTTCACCTTTGAAAATCAATTTACCTGCAGCCCCATGTGGCTTCAGTGGACAGGGATGTTACATTCTTCAGCAACTACTTGTTGTCTGTAGGAGAAATGCATGCCTGAAATAATGCGGATAAGAGGAACACAGGTTACCCAAAAGGGGGGACTTGTGTGACCCTTAAACAGACCAGATCCCTGACCTGAGGGAGATAAGGATAATTTCTCCTTACCATAAAATCTATAAGAGCAGGTTCCAATTAGAACAGGTCAGCATGGGCCAAAGTGACTAGGGTGGTCATGGTAACTGGGACTTAAAAGTTTGATGTGATTCTGCTGTCAGTAAAAAGTCAAGAGGTGGACCTGAAGGAGGACTTTCTGGAAACTTCCTTGGGACCCCAATAAAACTAGAAAGCAGGAGAGGTATGCTATCCCTCTCCTGAGAGAACCCCACTCCCTTGAGGGTGCCCCCTTTCCCATCACTTCTAATAAATTCATGCCTGTTAACTCTGAAATCTTTCTGACTTGATCACAAAAATCAGGGTTTGAGAGGGGGACCTTTTGCTGCCTCAGTTTCCTGGAAGGCCCTAGCCCTGTAACAAAAGGACAGATTTCAGAGCCATTCCTATGTCTGTGGAGGTCTGCGGTTTCTCTGGATAACCAACTCAAAACATGCCAAAGACATATATTCAGGGTGGAATAGTATACAATGTGAAGAACTAGGAAATGAAGATGATTTAACAGTAGAGGAACGTGTTTCCCATTTTGTTAGTAGCATATATTTTTTAATTTGGTGATTTTTTTTACTTTTGGAAAGTATTCTCCCAAGCACCTGTACAAGGCTAAGTCCTGTCTAGTCCAGGGGACATTAGAGGGATTTAGTTACTTTGTTTTAAAAAGTTCTGTGAAGGCTGGGCATGGTGGCATACTCCTGTAATCTCAGCAACGTAAGAGGCTTGAGGCAGGAGGATTGTGAGTGCAAAGCCAGCCTCAGCAACTTAGTGAGATCCTGTCTAAAAAAATAAAAAGAGCTGGGAACGTAGCTCAGTGGTTAAGTGCACCTGGATTCAATCCCCAGTACCCCCCACCCCTACCACAAAATAAATAAAAAATAAAGTTCTATGAAGGGTAATATTAATACTGTCTGCCTACTGGCAGCTATTATTGGCCCTGCCATCATCTAAGAGACACGGGGACCCAAATTTACCTGTCCTGAAGGGAAGGCTCCAGTGTAGATGTGTAGGACCTGAGAGATGGAAGATGTTTCAAAGCAATATTTATTCAACATTTATTAAGTGCCTGTTTTATGCTGGTTGATGTAAGTGGTAAACAAAACCAGGTCCCTGCTTTCAGAAATCTTAATTTCTAGACCCCCCCCCCAAAAAAAAAAAAGTATGAGAAAGAGCAAGGTAGGATAGCTCAAAATTGTAATGCCAGTGACTCCATAGACTGAGGCAACATAATTGCAAATTTGAGGGCAGCCTCAGCAACGCAGTGAGATCCTATCTCAAAAAAATAAAAAGGGCTGGAGATGGGTTGGGGCTGTAGCTCAGTGGCAGAGCACTTGCCTGGCATGTGTGAGGCCCTGGGTTCT